ACTGTTTGCCAAGCGTTCTAAGTGCCACTGGGCCCAGCCTCAGGTCGAATACCTTGGTCACATCGTCTCCAAGGATGGCATCCGCATGGACCCCCGTAAGACTGCTTCTGTACGGAACTGGCCTACCCCGACCAATTTACAAGAACTAAGGAAGTTCTTGGGGCTGACGAACTACTTCCGTAAGTTCATCGAACGCTATGCCATTATTGCCGCACCTCTGACAAATCTGACACGTAAAGGGGCTTTTGTATCTACTGACTGCTGGGGTCCTGACTGCCAGCAAGCGTTCGATACACTTAAGCGTATTGTCTCTGAAGACATCATTCTGCGTTTCCCGGACTACTCCCAACCTTTCCGTGTGGAGGTCGTAACTGATGCGTCCTTGCATGGTACGGGAGCAGTACTGCTGCAAAACGGGAGACCAATTGCTTTTACTAGTAAGAAGTTCTCGGGGGCTGAAACCCGTTATACCACTGGGGAACAAGAACTTCTTGCTGTACTGCACGCGCTTAAGGAATGGCGGTGTTATCTGGAGGGTCGGCCGTTCACCCTCAAAACCGACCACAAACCCCTAACGTTTCTGCAAGGCGTGCCTACCCTTAACCGTCGTCAAGCCCGGTGGATGGAATACCTTAGCCGGTTTGACTTCACATGGGAATACCTGCAAGGCATCCTTAACGTTGCTGATGCCTTAAGTCGGCACCCTTGTCTGCATGCAGCCATTCTGTCAGTCGTTACACGCAGCCGTGCTGCAGCACCCGTTGTGCCCTCTGAACTTGTGCAACGACTTCGAGCTGCCTATGCCACGGATCCCTGGTTTTCCGATAACCACAATACTGGCCATTTAACCCGTAACAGTGGCCTTTGGATCCGCACTGAGGGTACTTTTCGGCAGGTTGTCGTTCCGAATGATGACTTGCTGCGTCATGATCTCCTGTCACGTTTTCATGACGACCCGCTGGCTGGGCACCCTGGCTGCACCCGTCTGGTCGAGGTTCTCCGTCGTCAATTCTGGTGGCCTCGGATGGCTAAG